GGGGCCGGCCCTGCCACGTGCGGCGCGGGACCCCCGGGACCCCCCGCACAGCCCAGCGCGGAGCCCCCGCACGGGAGGAGGGTTTGGCTTTTTGTCTTTTCCTCCGTTAAGAAACGCACACGGAATTCCAGCCCTCCCGGCCCCAGGACCAAGTGGAGAGGATAAAGAAAACCCAAACAACACACTTCCTTGGAATGTTTTGAGCTGCTCGCAAGGAAAAGCCACCCAAGCCAGGCCTTGCACCAAGAGGGCAGCCCGGGTCAGGACAGCCCAGCTGCAGTTCTCAGTGAGCCAGCACGGCAGGGAAGCCCGGAACACCCTCCTTTCCCCAGGGAGCTGCAGCTGGAATAGAGCATTGGCACTGCTGGAAGCAAAAGCATTGCTTGTTCCTCCCACCTACTAAGCCCCAGGCAGCCCAGGGCTGGGGAAGCAACAAGAGCAAGGCCTGAGAAACCCCAGCACCAGCCCTGGCTCCTGCACCACAAGTCCCAAACAGCAGCACAGGCAGCATTCTCCATTCTACATACTTTATTAGATTCAGAGCTGGACAAATCACAAAGTGTACAAAATGGAGACCACACTACCAGAAGCAGGATTGTGGGTAGCAGCAGCATTCCTATGGCCCAGAAGCATTCGGTAGAGGAGTGGAGAGGACAGGCTGGGGGCAGGAGGCTCTTGCTGCCAATGGCATTTTAGACTCCCGAGGACAGACCCTGTTCACATCCTGACAGAGCTCAGCTGACGGGCACTCCCTGGGACACAGGGGCCACGTTTCCATTTTGTTTGGAAAGGACAGACTGACTCAAGCCAGCAGCAGGTGGGGTAAGTGCTCTAAGGACCTGAAATGCTGTGCCACCCACATACACACCAGCAAGAGCCTAAACCCTCATCCTTTTTGGTCACAAACCTTCCCACAGCAGGACTCTATACTGACAACTTTGCAAGAAATATAAGGTGGTGGTGAGATGCAGCAAGCCCACCGTCTCCTCTGGTGCAGGCCTGACAAACTCACCACCCCAGGCATCTCAGACTGGCCAGCAACATCTACCACAACAGCAATAGCTAGTACAGAAGCCAGGGTAACTTCAACTCAGATTTGTCCAGTCTATGTTTAGGTCTATTCTACGAGTACATATGCACAAGAACTTCAAAAATACTAGGATATGATGCAAGTAGTGAGACACCAACAGAAGAGGAGTTTAATGGTGGACGTTCCCTAGAAAGATCATGAGAGGATGGGAGTTAGACTAGCCCTTCCCCACCCTGGGACAGGGAGCAGGAGGCTGAGTGCACCCCTGCGTGCCACTGGGTTCTGAACTGCAGCGTGGGTGGTAACCGAGCACAGGCAGGCGAGTCTGCTCCCAAGGTGAGCCACGGGGGCTTCCAATCTGCGTAGAGGGGCCAGGCAGATGTTTTCTCTGAATGTAGTTGAAGACTGAGGAGAGGAGGAGGATGGCTTGGAGAAGAGGGAGCCTACCAGCCTGCTGGGGCTAGCATCTGGTCTCGTAGATCCCACTCCGGCCGATGTACCTCACCCATTTGATCACATCGTGGTCACTGTAGTTCAGCTTTGGCTCAAAGACTTTCAGGTAACGCACCTTCAGCCCAGAGGGGGCAAATGGGACCTGTTGAGAAAGGGAAAGGCAAAAGAGAGCATTGGAGCAGGGGGGGTGAGATACTCTCCATATACAAATGACAGAGGACCCCTGGTGTCCATCTCTAGAGCCACTGTTCCCTTCATGACTCCCTGCACGCATAGTGACAGATTCTACTGGTTTTATAAGGGCAATTTTATTCCATTAGCTTTGCCACCTGGCTGACCTCATGTTAGGAAGACCCACATGTCAACTGGGGACATGGAGCACTCAAACCTGCACAGCTCCATGAGGGCAGAAGGATTTGGACCAACAAAGCTGCTCTAAGGTCAGCTACACCCTGGAAGGCAGACAGGGACTCACCTCAAAGTTCATGGAGATCGGGGGCCGAGCCCACTTCTTCTTGTCATTGGTGGGCAGCAGTTCAATCTCAGCACTGATCTGGGATTCCTTCATTCCAGCCATACGTTTTATCCTATCAGAAGTGAGAAGGTGCCAGAGTTCGTCTCCTTCACTACATGTGCTCAGGGCACACAGGAGCATGAAACAGGCTCTGCCACCCCCAGCCCTGCCCCTACAGCACTCCAGCCAACATGCTCACTTACTTCCAGACAATGGCATTCTCACTGGCCTTGTACTTTGCCTTCCCTTTCATACAGATGACTTGCACTCCACTGGTATTGAGGGGTGTTGGGATCCGGACCTGGAAGGCACAGTCTGGTTAGCAGGAGCAAGGAGCCTGCAGCCTGGGCACTCAATGCAGTCTCAGGGGAAGACCAGCTGCTCTGGACACCTTGGCCATCTCTCTTTCCCACCTCAGCACCCAGAGAACATCAGCTACAAGGCATCCTAGGCTACTCCTCCAGTTCCTTGCTTCGAAGTGAAGTTTCAAACACATTTTCAGAATCCACAACAGTCAGCAAGAACTGGACAGAGCTCTCCAGTTCAGGCTGCAGGAAACCTGGCTAGTGTCAGGCAGCTAAGCTGAGGAAGGATGCCAGGCTGGCCAGAGAAGTCTGGTTGCAGCAGACTCTGCACAGCCTAACTTTGCAGCATTAAACCTTTCCTAGAAGGGGACCAAGCTACCAAGCCACCCCTTTAGCCTGCTTTACACAGCTCCTAGCCTGCTGCCTCTCTGACATACCCTCAGATCACACAGATAGAAGAACATGAACTTTTCAGAGGGGACAAGACAAAGTGAGCAGTTGCTGCAGGGAATGAGGCCTTTGCCAAAGTCTGTGCAATTGAAAACAAACTTCCACCTCCCTACTCTACAGCAGTTCCCTTCCACTGCACAGCAGCACCACACATCTTTCAGATCACTCATTTTCTCCTGTACAAGCCTGAGAACTCAACCCTGAGGACTCTGCAGCAGGGAACATAGAGGCACAATTCCCAGACACAAGAGACTGTAGGTTTTTATTATCTTACCTCTATCTTCTGGGCCAGTAAGGAAGGTTTGAAATTTGATTTGATCACCACCTTCACTTCCAGCTTGGTCCGGCCCACCTCCCGCACCAGTGGGATCACACGGAAGGGAAGGATAATGTCCTTAGTGGTTCGGTATCTGCAGGGATGGAAGCAACAGTGAACTCCAAGGACGAGTTAACTCCCTTACAGCTTCAAATTGCACCACATTCCTAAACAGACAGCCTTTGCATACCAGGAACAGATTAGAAACACCAGTCAGAGCAGGAGCCATCCCAGAATGAAGCAACAAAGATCTGTACTGCTGTAGGACAGCAATGGTTTCTTCAGTCCCAAGTTTTATCTCTGGTTCCTGATAATGGAACCTGTTCAAGGTCCCTGCTGAAGAACAGCACTTTTGAGCACTAAAGAAACCAGATACAGCAAGCTAAAGGATAAGGAAACCCACATCTAACATGAAGATTGTGGCAAAGAAAACCATGCAGCTGGACTTCTACTAAATTTGTAACAGAAGGATTTGTGGAACATGCTATGGATTCCACCCTGAAAACAAGGAGGCAGATGCATTTTAGTGAGGTGCTCAAGGGCTACAAGTCTGCTCGAGAGCAGCAACAGCACTGTCACAGCAAGCAGTGCCAACACCAGCCTGCTCACCCCCCACCACCGTACCTCATGAGCTCAAACTCTCCATCTGGTGGAATGAAGCTGATGCTTCTCTCAGAATCAAACTTGCTGAGCCTCACACACTGGTGGAACGTGCAGTCGTCGATGGCGATTGACTGTTTGCCACTAAAAACACAAGACACAGTTAAACAAGTGCAGGATGCAGCCTTGGTCTCTTGGTGCAGTCAGGGTCTGTCCAGGCAGAAACTACTCTACAGAGCATGTTGCCATCGCAGGCTTCCAGAAATAGGGAGGCAGGGAGAGATTACGGGGGCAGCAGCCTCTTGGCTCAGACTTCCACTGTCTCACCACCACAAATATCATATTTCAGGAAGCTTGGTTGAAATAATGCTCTCCTTCCTCTCACCAGAGAGGAGAGTTTAGAGGAGCACTATTCTGTCACAGCCAGCAACATAATGCTTGGGTCTGCCTGCCAGCAGCTCCTCAGCACTGCAAAGGCAACTCTGCTAGCCCAAGTCTTCTTGCAGCAGAGTTCAAAGGGGACAATACACTTTCCTGTCCACAAAGCTATGCCACTGACAGAGCCAGGAGATGCCACCTTCAGGGTCTTCCTGTTCAGAAATCTCTTCACAGCTGTTGATTTTCACACTGCTAGCAGGTGGTTTGATTCTAAGTGTATTTGGAAAAGACTATAATATTATGCCACAAAAGTTCCTCTCTCTCACTTCTAGAAATTGACACAGCTACAATCTGTCCATTGAAGTTTTCTAGCCTAACCTGCCAGCACTGAACCTGTGCTGGGTTCTAGTCTCCAAGAACACCTTCCTTGCCACTGGTCCTGAGCTCAGCCAAGAATTGTCAGCCACTGAGAGGGACCAGAATATGAGAAGGTGGTAGCAACAGAAGAGGCAGAGAAGGTGCAGCACTATGATATCTAGGCTGCCTCAACTGCTGGGAGCAATGGTACAACCATGCAAGTGTGCTGAGAGAGTACACACTACAGGCAGGATCATCTGTCCTAGGAACCACCATTTCCTGCACAAACAGCAGACTGGCTCCAGGCTGACTGGCTGTTTAGTTACACAGCTCAGTGGTGTAGTTTGTCCTTCAGAAGTGGGAGTTAGTCTTTGCTAATCTGTTGCTCAGATGACAGTCTGACTAGTTTGATTCTTTGCAAAGCTGCTGGAACACCCTGCTGCTTAGCATCACTTCAGGTCTCAGACAGCATTACTCAGGGTTTGGTGTTGTCACACACTAGATGCCAACTGGCAACAGCTGTCACTTTTGGTGACCTCCTAACTAAATGCTTCTGGAGAGTGATATTTTCAAGCTCTTGCCTACTGGAGAACCACTAATCAAAGTTCCTGTCCATCAAGCTTCTCTTAACTCAAGAAAAACAGAACATCTACAGGCAAAGGGACTCACAGCACAGAAGCTCTGGGACAGTGTTACTGACTTCAGAGATGACACTTTCACTAGAGTATATCCCCACTAGGGAGCCACCTGAGACTCATCTATTTTACCAGCTAGATTCAGGTACAGGAGAGACAGCTTAAAGGTGACAGTGAAGTGACAGCTCTTGGCTTGGTTCTGAGAAAAAGCAAATAGCAGCTCAGCTCCATTTACAGGAACCACCATGGAAAGTGTCTGAGATCCAAGTTACATGCACAAGTCACACAAAGCAAGAGACAGGGGGAGAGCAAAGTGCACACAGCTGAAGCAGATTATCTACCTTCCCAATTCACTGGGGTCAGCAAAAAAACCAAAACAACCAAGAGAAACACATTTGAGTTGCAAATGGTTAGTGAGAGAAAAGTGACAGTCCCTTTGCTTTTATCTCTTCACCCCAAGCAGGAAGGCTGCAAAAGGCCTAAGACCTGTTTTCAGCTTCAGTGTAGGCACTGGCTGAGGTGTGGCTGGGAAGGAAGGTAGCCAGGTTCCCAGAAGGGATGACCCTCCAATCCACATGGCCACTGACCACCTGCATGTCAGCAGGAGGGGCTCAGCCACTGTTAGTCTGTCATCTCTTCTAGTCTGTGGGAACAGCCCAGGTAGAACAGGTTATGGTCAGAATGGTTCCTTGACTGTTCCTTGACAGAACTACCACTGCATCCTAATTGAGTAAGAGTCTCTGCACTGATTAGAACTGCTAGAGACACAAATTCTGGGAAATTCCATCTTGGGGAAGGGTTTCCAGCTGCAAGAACTCCCCACATAACATTATGTTTGAACCTTAATGCTTGAAGAGGTTTAGAAAAAGCCCTCTGTATTGAGGCCCTCCAGCTGGTAGCTTGCATGACAACTGACCTACCCTAAGAAAAATTAGCAGTAACACTGAAGGGAAGAGATCAGCTTCTCTGCCAGACCAAAAAATGCA